TATATATGAAGAATGCCTTTGCAATATTAGATACTATTATTTTTTTAATTTGACTAATTGATCTCTTACTTATATCTATTTAGCATAACAAAAAATTGTTATGCATAATAGTTTATTAATATATTTATATGTATTTGTATATATAGGTTATACATTAATTTTTCAATTTTAAACTTATTTTTCTCAGGAACGAAATGTACGAAAATATTGTATTTTATTTTCGTCCTGCTTGTGCACGAGGAATCATCTCTTTCTAGTTGCATTACAGTTTCACATATGTCCTATATATAAAGTATTTCTTTTATAAGATCATTTTATGAAGTATTTTAATTACTTTTTATTTCAGTGAAAACATATAATTACTTTTAAATATTAATTGCGGCTATTACACAATACGAGTATGTTAAATAATACGTTTTCAGAAAAGTTGTGTACTATTCAAATATATTTAAAAATTATTCGTTAAATTTAAATACGTGAAATATAGAATTAATAAACTAAAAGTTAATTTTGCTACAACTAAAAATCATATTTCATAAAAAGATAATTTTCTATTTTTAAGAATTGCAAAGAATAAGGGCACTAGAAGTCAGGCGCAGAAGACGTCGCGCAAATAATACATTTATAAAGAGTGAAACTTCTTTATTCACTAAACACGTTTACATGTTTCGGTTCACTTTTTGAGCTTTCCTCAAAGCAAACACAAACTAACATAGATAAACTAAAAGTTATCCTGTCATGGTGAGTTCCCCTACATCGAGAATTTAAATGCTGGGATTAACCAAAAAGGAAAAAGAAAGGAAAAATAAAAAAGGGCAAATATTGAAAATGTCGAATTAGAAAATATAGAAACTAATTTATCAAAAAACTTTAAGAATATAATTAATTATCCCGTAAATCAGGACGCTCATCACGATTACAAAGCACCAATCGCAAACATTACCATGAATAATTCAAGAATTGGTTCCTGATATGTTGGCCAGTCGGTATCAGACACAGTGAGTCACCCCCCCCCCTTTTTTTTTTAGTTATTAGCTAGTATTTTTTCGAGATAACAAATGGAACAACATTAAAACGTTAGTCAATTCCAAAAAAAAAAAAAATGAAAGTTGTAAAGTGATCAGACATTTCGTCAGAAGGACTCGTTACTGTGCACAACTGACACTGACTTTGCGCGACGTCTTCTGCGCCTGACTCCTAGTGCCCTTATTCTTTCCAATTCTTTGATTTGTAAGGAGTCTTGATTAGTTTGATTTATTAACGGATTTTCTATTTTTCTTTTAATTTTTATGCTGTGATAATTGTTTAATTCGATAATATTAATTAATTAAACATTAGTTAACTGCTTGATTTAATAATTTAAATAATTTTTTATTTATGCAATTCTTTTTATTTAATGAAATTATCGTGGGCGGATAATCAATCGTAAAATATAATCGTAAGATCGTATTTTACCACATATAGAACCATTTTTATTAATATCTTACATTAACGTTATTATTGATATTCAAATATCTACGAAATATTATAATCCATTTTAATATTATTTGATTAAATATAATAGCACGCATACACATTCACTGTTAGGAGATATTAAACGAGATAGAAATCACTGAGTAATTTATAAAACACCAAAAAAACTCTGATAAATTATCACGTTTGTTAAAAGGAGTTTGATTAGAAAGACCTGATATTTAAAATTGCAATATTACATATTCATTTGTATTCTTTTTGCGGAATCGTCTTGTATAATATAACGTTACTGCATTTGTAATATAGGTAAGTATTAGTATAGTTTGCAATAACTTTTGTAATGAAAATTGCACAGAAAATTAATAGGAGTGATCGATACATATGCGCAAATATTTCCAAACTTATATTTGATAATCGCCTGAATTTGCTCGAAATTATGAAGCATACAGACTCCAACCACAGGCAAGACAGCACAATACAATGTATGAGAAATGCATCAAGTCATGTAAAAAAAATACATTCAGTTATTTCAGTGCATCCTTATTTTCCTTCACAAGTTGATACTATAACAGATTTTTTTATGATTAATTATAAATTTGTCATTTATTTATTTTAATCAATTGCGATAGAGTAATAAAATAAATTCAATCACGGTTAAATGAATGTTTTTGATTAAAAAAAAACGTTTTTACAAAAAAATTAGTAGTTTATACTCAATATAAATTATTTTTTGGTAGGTACATCCGAAAATTGGACATACATAATGAAATAAAAATCTTGAATAAGTGTATACACACATACACACACACACGAGCTAGCTACGAGATTCATACTGTAAATATTAAAAAAAATTTTAAATATTAAAATTAAATTTTTATTTTTATACCTAAAGTTACAAAAATGAATGCATACATGTATCTATATCTTTCTTTATTTTTATCTTTAGTCATTTAAGACTAAAAAAATGAAAAAATGCAGCCTTCATCATGTTCGTTAACGAGTACATAATTAGATTGGACACTTATACATATAATATGCATATATAATTGGATATATTGGATATACTTATATACGCATATATAAGTTGTGCATATAATCGAACAGCAAGAGTACTCACTGGAAGTGATAGATATATTATCTTCCTTGACATTGTCATACTGTAGAAATCGGAGAATTTTTAAATATATCTTATCCAAATTTTTTTTAGCAGTCATGACAAAGACTTATGTCTATCAACACTAGAATAAATATGTGGATCATTTACAAATGTGATATATTTTTACAAATTCCCAGTATTGTAAAAACAATGCTAAATAGAGTATGAACCTACATTTTGCGTTTATCATATCCTAAAGTTAATTAAACTTTTACTTAATGGCATTTAGATTCTACGAATGATAAATAACGATATATTGAAAGTAAAGCATAAATTCTGGTAGATATATATAATATAATATATACAACATTAATTTAACACACGAGATACAACCGTACCTCCTGATATAAAAGTCACTTCTTCGAAAAATATAATATATTCTAAATACCCAAGTGTGAGATAAATCCCTAAAAATAGAAAGAAAATACTTTACAAAATATCGTCATTTTTCACGAGATTAATAATAATGAAAAAATATTATAATAAAAACGGAATCGTATTAACATTATGACAATAAACAGGAAGCATAATTATCTCGGACTTATTTAGGTCCGTTCAACTCTAGATATTAGAATTAAAATAAAAAGGGAAATGCGCGATGTTTAAAATACCGTAAATAAAAATTAATGCTTTTGTATCAGAAAACTTCAGGCTTCATTTTTCATGCCCTCAAAGTTATGAAAACCGCGTAGAATAAAAAAACTCGGCCCTTATTTGGTTTTATCTATTGCTTCCAATCGCTCGATGGTAGGCGGATGTGAATGATTCCAAGAGGAATACAATTTATCATATAAAGGATATCCTAAATTATCCTTCTGTAATTTTAAAAGAGCTGCTTTTAAAGCCTCGCCGTGGCCTAATTTTGTGGCAAAATGATCTGCTTGAAATTCATATCTTCGGCTGATCACCACGATAATAAAATTAAAGATCTGAAAATAATAAAAAGAATTTGCGTGAATAATTTTCTGTTTATGTGCAATAGAAAAATTTAATGGATACTTACTGTATTCAGTGGTATTAAAATATACATTGTTACAATAAATAGACCAATAATGATGGGCTGACTATCGACAAAGCCAAAAGCGCTATACATTGGTGTGTATCGCAAGAGTTTGGCAAACATAATAAAATTGGCTAGAAGTATTATCTGAAAAAATATATATATTATTAAAAACAAAATATTATTAAATACAAAGACGAATCTAAAGAATTTCTCAGGTTATGTACAACATATCTTATTTCTTAAAATATATTTTATTAAATTTTATTAAGTGATTTTTTAATAAATGCAGAGTCAATTCTTACTTAGCAAATATTAAGATATTATTATTGATATTATAAGGCCAATTCAAAATAATATATATAAATAATAATATAAATCAACTTTAAAGTTATACCTGACTCAGCAGAAATCCTAACAAAGCATGATTATGTTTCCAATGACCCAATTCATGCGCGAGTACCGCCAGTATTTCATTTGTCTCACAACCAATCTCTTTGTCGTCATTATTGCTGTCTTTCTTGCAATAATCCTTGATGAGTGTATCAAAGAGAACTATTCTTTTGTATTTATAAAAACCATACAAATAGGCATTGCTGTGTGACGATCTTTTGGAGCCTTCAACTACAAACAGCTTGTACAAAGGAAATTTCAAGGAAGCTGCCAATTCTTCGATCTTTTGCTTTAATTCGCCCTCAGGCAATGGTGTATATTTGTCAAATAATGGTGCAATTATTTCTGGATACAAAATTATCATGAATAACGATACTACCACAGTTAATAACCACAAGTACCAGAAGAAATAATCGCCACCATTTTGCACAACCCATATTACACCACATAAAAGAGGTAAAGTGATAATTTGAGTCACGAGAAATCTCTTAATTTCGTCCTTAATAAAAAACATAGCTGTCTGCAAATAAATAGTGATAATAATTAGCAAAGATCTTTTTCAATCAAATCTGATGTTCAATAATTAAATGTATAAAGATATATAAAAATGTCTTTTTAAGTTGCACGTGGAAAATCTTACTTGTTTATTAAAGCCATGTTTCTGTTCCAAAACAAAAGTATCGTATATCTCTATTGGCAGATTGGATATGTGGGAAAATACACCTATGATAAACATACATATTGCGCTTATCAGTATTTCATTCTTGTGGTCGAAATCATAATACTTTGCTATTTTAATGCTCCATTGCCAGAAATAGTAATAGGCATAAAATATCAGGATTAACTGTAAAAATACAAAATAATGCAAATCCGTGAATAATATCTGAAAGATTTCTGTTTTAACCCTTTTGTCAATGCATAATTTAGCTTTTTACTCCCATTTTTTACAAGGTTCCCACTAAAAATATAGAAGCAAAAACGAGATAGTTTTGCAAAACTTTGAATGGTAAAATTTTTGAGGTATCAAAAAATTTACACAAAAATACAAAAAATATTTGTTTAAAATTCAACGAGCATCCAGGTATCCATACATTGACAGAAAAATTAATCAACAGTATACAGAATTTGTAGACACGTTTCATGATACTCACGGTATTATAAATCTTAGAATATACATCCTGTACTGTACCGAAGGTATTTCTGTGCAAGGCATACGCACGAGCCTTATCATATATATCCTTACTCATTAAACCCTCAATCGATTTGGGTAAATCAACCAGACGTCGCAGCAATGATCTCTGTGAATATACATATCAGAAATATTGGCTGTAATTACATCAATTCATTCATTTACATTTTTTAAATATCTTCTGTATATAAAAATTAAAATAAAAATTGAAATAAATGTGACATAAATAAAATACAAATATGTAAATATGTGGAAGTTTAATCGACAAATAATATAAAATCTTGCTAATTTTAGAATTACACAGCGTTCTAAGCATTATTCTAAAACAGGGCATCTATCATGCAACAAGTCAGAATGAATTCCGATCGGAATTATTCAATTATTCCCTAGATTTCTATTGTTTTCTAGGGAAAACGGAATAATTATGATCGGAATTCATTCCGACATGTTCCGTGATAGATACCGAGAGCTGGGTCAGCTGGGATTTAGTTGCATATTTCATGCCGGATCAACATTTAGGCTGCGCGCGGGTTGGTGAAGTAAGGGGCAGGAACCAAGCTGAAAATCGACTGAAATGTGCAACTAAATCCGAGCAGCTCTAAAAAGTGAAAAAAAAAAAAAGATTACAGGTTAGAAAGACAGATTTTACCTGGCGAAAATTTAAATAATAATGCCAAAAGTTCAATAGCCATATCATCCATAAGATTGTTTCAAGAATATGTTTCTCCCAAAAATCCACAAGTGCCTCCATTTTGTTAAAATATTAACAGGATATTTTTGTTCTTCTTTAACTCCCCTGTATGGATTTCCGACCCTGTTACGGTCACGGTACCATGCGTTGCTTCAATCTTGCGATTGCTTGCGATCCAGCATTACGTTAAACCTCTTCGGGACAATGTGTTGGTCGAGTCACCTTTCGACGCATGCGCATTGCGCGTTCGGCTGCGGCATCAGTGCTGTGCTAATGTCGAACTTACAAAGGTTCTGTAAGGCCCTATTTTGACGTAACTATATAAATTATACTTTACATACCACATTTTTGGTAAATCAATAAGGATTATAAAGCGACAGAAATTTTGTGAAAAACCAAAGATATGAGCAAAAGAAGATTAAGGATAAGTTTATTTCTTTCTTAATATAAATAGTGATGGAATATATTTCCATTTCGAGTAGATCATTTCTTCAGTCGTAAGGAAACAATAATAATATGCTTAAAGTGTAAATTAATATTAGATTAAGTACATATAAAAATAAATTAGGCAAAGTATAAAAGTTTAAATAAAAGTAAAAAAAATATTTTTACCTTTTCTCATAAGAGAGATTTATTAAAACAAAAATTTTTTAATATTAATTTTTTATTTAATAATGTAACATTATTAATTCATATTTTAAAATATTATTATATCTTTACGGCTGAAGAAGACTTAAAGAAACCAAAATTTATTCCATTTGATTATTATTTATATAAATATAAATAAATGCATTTAGTGAGAAATTATTACCTTTACTTTCTTTGGCTTGTTAAAAATTTTTATATTGCTTTGTATATATCTTTTATTAACCATATTAAATGATCAGCTATATATAAATGCAATATTATGCTCAGTATAAAAAATGCTGCTAACTAATTGATATCCGCTCTTTTTTTTTTCTACCACTGCATGAAATATTATCGATATTTCTGGGGTTCAGATTTCGACCTTTTATTTCATACATATGTTCAACCATTTGTGAATGTCCTAACAAATTTGTTTTACGACACGCAATGCCGACATTACACGCGGTACAAAAAGCTTTATTTAATTCAGAATAGGGAGCTAACCATCCTTTAAAAATGTTTTCATCTAACCAAGAATTTTGAAAATTTATATTAATTTTTCTTTTAATAACTTCTTTAACGACATTTCATATTGTATATACAAATATATATTACAATAGGCCTGTTCTTTTTGGCTGAACTTTTGCACTAGTTCATCTTTCTTCCTTTTCTCTCCAACAGGAAAGAAGAGGAAGAAAGATGAACCGGTGCAAAAATTCAGTCAAAAAGAACAGGCCTAATAAGTACTATTTTACGTACCTCATTAGCCTTCTTGCTGCCAGATCTGGTCGAATCCCGCCAAAACTATAGGACACCTATCTTTCAACTCTGTGTACGTTACTGGATTTCACCAGCGCTGCAATGCGCATGCGTCAAAAGGTGACTCGCCTAACAATAACGCTGCTTCGGGGGTAGTGGTTCTGCTTAAATTCTTAGCAGGATGTTCAGAACCTCGCGCTAAAGTAGTAGCCGTGACGATTTATGCGGAATGAAAGGGATAAAATCCATGGCAACGGTCCACTAAGAAGAATTAAGCAGTAAGACACGAGCACTATGCGAATGGGCCAATCAGAGTGAAGACCGTAACGCAATAATGTAAGCAGTAGCCAATCCAACATGTTGATTTCCTTACTGCTTACGTCTTCCTCTTCTTCACACCCCTATATTATTTTCCGACCCCTTCATAAGGGTCATAGTATCATACGATAAATCTACTGATCCAGTGCATGCCTCTTCGAGGTCGCACGTAGTTAATTCACAGTTTTGTCTCGTATCGAGTCAATGTGAAATTCACGATAGGCCTTTCAAGTCTATATAACTTTAAATGCCATTGACTGAATCAGGATATTACGTAACTCGTATTTGCTCGTATTGGAGCAATAGTGCTCCGGGTGCTCCGCGTCCTCCGCGAAAACACAAGTTTTAGTATTTGATCGCGAGGTGGAGCGGGGTGTTCTCCTAAACGCGAAAAATTGCGTGCATAGGGCGCATCCTGCGCCGCGCAGGTGGAATCGATGGAGTCGAACCCGGATTTACGGATCGCGAGTTGAACACCTGGGGCATGCAACTCGTGTCATCGTCTCGCTTTCTGCAATAAGGGCGGGAACACAGAGGCGTAAGGTCCTACACACGCAACAGAAGGAATAAGGAATTAGGAATAAAGAATAAATGATTTCAACCTATCGGAAACCATGTATTCCGATATATCCGATTTTTGATAGATTAAAATCGTTTATTTTTTATTTCTAATTTCGTATGGGAAGGCTCCGATTGTACGCATTGCATGTTGCACACATGCGTCGCTAATTGGCTAATTTAAAAATAAAATATTCTCATTGGTAAAGCAGTGAAAAATTATTAGGCACCAGTTGATACGAATGGCGTTCAGTAGACTCGACTGTTGTGGAGCGGATCCGTGAGCGCTCGCTGCTATTGGTGTATTCTTCTAGATCATCCAGTTGAGTCTGCTGAACGCGGCCAATGGTGTGTGCAATCGGGATTGTAGGCAAACGGGATCCTCCCGATAATCGGTCTTGCCCTTAGTTCCTCATTGGATCTAAATGTATAAACCAATCAAATGACTACGTATTGAAAATTGAGATCAAAGATTGAAAAATTGAAATTTGACCAATAAAAAAAAATGGAGCTAAAATTCCTTTGTTGTCATTGGTCTTTCAATCTTCAATCTTTAATCTCAATCTTCAATGCATAGTCTAATTTGGGGTGATCCCGATTGACCACGTCTCGATTGCATACCACCAATCACAGCGACCGGTGCTTAGGAGCTTTGTAGTCTCAAACGCTGTGAGTGGCTCGTGTCCAATTGTGCCGTGTCCAACTGAGTGCCACTCGATATTTGATCATAATCTGCGGCCAACTTCATATGTTAAATTATAGAAAAAAGAAATCATGACCTCACACGTCCAAATACGAAAAATAAATTCCCTAGCCAGTTTGACAGCTTCTGCTTACAATTTTTGCCGATTTCCCCGTACTTGTCCTCACCGTGTACGGCGTGTACGCGTGAAGTTGCGAATGACAAAATAAATTTTGTCCACGCTCCAACGAAATATGTAATACAAGAAAAGAAAAAAACTCAGAAAAGTCCGAAATTCAGAGGGAAGATAAAATAGTCGATCAAAAGTAACATGTAATTTTCAAGGAAAGTGGAAAGACGAGGTAAACGTCAAGAGGTTGAGGGGCGAACACGTTGGCAAGCGAAGATCAATGTTTCTCTCGACCTGGCGATGATCGTGCAATAAAACCGGGCCATGGAAGACAGTAGCAAGGAACGCCGGGTCCTGCAGCACTATGTTGCCAAGCAAGACACGGTATTGATACGGATATTCGGTGCGTGCGACGTAAACGTTAACAAGTTACGTCTGGGAATGCTTGTAGAAGCACTGGAGGATTTGAGGGAGAGCGTGTTGAGGATACGCGTGACCGACACCGTTGGCGGATCTAAGACCTGGTGCGGCACGGAATGGCGTTGCCACAAGTACGACCTGATCCCCGTGTCGCCAATGGTCTGGCAGTACCTGCTCGCTGTTCAGTCTCCACAGGAGAGAATCCAACTGGCGAACGACGAGGCTCTGTGCGAGCAGATAAGAAATATATCTGTGAACGACGTGGCCTGGTACTGCTCCGATCCCGCTAATAGACGTGCTAGAGAATTGGCGTTTGTCAGATACATCGGACCTGTGCCCCAGCTTGGATTGGGACATTACTTTGGCCTTGAACTAGTGGTGAATTGACTAAAGCTGCTTTTAGTTGCTGCTGCTCTTGTTTAAATTCTCAATTTTATAACGTAAAATAGAGTATATCATGTACAAGGAATAGACAGAATAATAACTATAAAGATCCGAAGAATATTACTTGTTTTATTAATAAGGAGTTGGTCTAGCATTTGTTTTTAATATAGATTCTTGAAGAATATAGCAACAGTTGTGGTACCATGTTATGTCATTCTTCTAGCAGAATCTCTTTTAATTGCTTAAAAGATATTGGAAGAGAAAATCTGTTTTTCACTGTGTGTTCTTTAAAACTATAAAAAATTCAATTATATTTAAATCAGGCGATTGCATTGATCAGAAAAGATGTTAGAGTTTTGGAGAACAGAGGACAATTTTGGAAAATAGCAAATTTTTTTCTCCAATATTATTTATATAAATAATTAAAAAATTTTCTATTAAAAGATAATATATTGTATTGATAACTATTCGAGAATTGTGTGATTCTATTGCAATAAGGATAGAATGTCTGTAAAAAGTAAATGATAGGTCAAGTAACTCTCTTATTAATAATAACATAAAAATAATATATTTCTTAGACATTCATATTATTTTGTTTGTCTCCTGTATATAAAGTAGTAGCTCTTCCTTGTACCTACAGATATTACATAAAAAGGAATAAATAGAATTTAATGAACTAAATTTTAAAATGAGTCAGCAAATAATATAGTTTTACTTTTGAATTAATTTCAAATAAATTTTATCTCCGAATATATTAGATTTTATTATAAAAATATTTAATTTGAAAAATGGAAAGCGTGCATAAAATATAAAATTATATCTTTTAATCTTTATCAAAAGACTGGTTATAGGATATATCCTGATGAAAGAACAAGTGTTTGACTCTTAAGATAAATTTACAATATAATAAATAATAAGTGAACACATGTGCATCAATATGAAATGGAATTAACGATAATTATGTATATATGTATATTACAGGAAAGTCAGGAATTGTCCAAAACATCCTTATTGACTAAAGAATATTTTATTCCCACACATTGGAATGCTGCTACAATATTCGCTACTATAAATAATATATTACCTTATAAAGAAACTGACTCTATCTCTGGCAGCATTGAAAAAAGTATCCATTAATCATAAATCATTAATTAATCATTTATTAATCAATGTTTCTTTGTCAATTTTATAATCATGCAATTTGAATATTTTTATATTTCAGTATTGCTCTCGAAAAGTAATACAGGAACTGACTATAATAATGATAAGAAAAGATCTGTACTTGACAGTACACCAGCTGTTTTATTAGAACAGTTTACTCTGTTTGATGACAACAAGAATAACAACCAAGATTCTGTCAATATACTAAAAGAATGCCATCAAACCGGGAAGTCAGATCTTGAAAATGATATTAATAACTATACTCAAACCGTCGAGCATACTCTTTTTAAATGTGGTAATTTTACAATCGTAAAAGCAACAAATATTTATTAAATATATACTTATTCTATCAATACTTTTCCCTAAGAACACTAAAACTAAATTAGTCCCAGTGCTGGACTTTAGTTTCCTTCGTGCGATAGAGGGAGTTAATAATAGCTCAGGTATTTTAAAAATAGATGCACAAAACCTAGCCCGACTTCCTAGAGGGCTGCTGCCAGGTTATAAAGCGCTTTAAAACTATTGTATTTTTGTTTAACAATGGCAGCAGAACTGCAGAACATTCCTATTTTTGTATTGGAGCACAAATGGAGTAGTGATATAGAATCAAATGTATACAGTGATGTGGAAGATACGCGTGGCATAATGTTGGATTACAGTAAGATACAAGTTGACATGCTACCTCTACTGCACTTTTAACTCAAACACATTTATTCTTCCGCGATAATATTTATACTTTTGCATCAGAAAAGTGATTATACCTTACATATTGCCTTTTAAACATTACATAGAAATATTTGAATAACACGGACAATCAATTACAATTAGCTATTAATTGCAATAGGTAATGGTGAGAAAAACGAAACCAAGAAATTCAACAGAGTAGAGAATAAAGGAGATTTGGTAGTGGGCTCTAATGTGAAAGTGCTTCTGGATTCAGATATTCATTACGGAATTATTCGATGGATCGGCTCACCGCCTGGTACAAGTCCTGGCAAATTGATGGCAGCTGTCGAGCTGGTAAGTAAAATGAGTGTATTAAATACACTGTTTTACATTTTATAAAAGAATAGAACAGATTAGAGCGTTGTGTTTCATTCATAGGATAATGGACATCCTTTAGGTACTGATGGAACTTACAAAGACATCAGATATTTTCATTGTAGGCCTTACAGAGCTATATTCACAGACATTGAACACTGTTCTCATTACGAAAGTGTTAGTAGAGTGATTTATTACTTTCTCAATATTAATTTACGTCATGTTTGTTAATTATGAAAATAAGTAAATTATGGAAACATCTGTTATAAATAGACGAAGCTCAACGAACGGCCTGCACTTATAAATAACGATAATTTCGGTAATATGGAGAGTTCTGTAATAACGGGTATAGTACGGCCTATCTCTGTCAAAGGAGACTTGGAAAGTATATGTGGGAAGTATCGTGGTATTCAAGGCCATCACAATTCATGCTATTTGGACGCTACTCTTTTCAGCATGTTCACATTTACTAGCGTATTTGACAATCTTCTGTTTCGGTAATTAATTTTGTATTTTCGATGTAATTGAATATATATTTGCTGATTAAAAAGATTATTTCTCTTCGAAAGAAAACATAGATTTTGTTATATAAATATAATATAGTAAGTGTGGTGGTCTTATAAAAGTTTTTGTATGACTTTTTAGTCCACCGAATGAAAAAGATTGTCCACAATATGAAGAAGTGCAAAGGGTCTTGAGAGAGGAGATTGTAAACCCTTTGAGAAAAAATATGTTTGTCAGAGCGGATCGTGTAATGAAACTTAGGACGTTGCTTGAAAAACTATCGTCAGTATCTGGCCTCACTAGCGAAGAAAAAGGTCTGCATTTATATTTCGAAATATTATGGATTCTAATCGCTTTACTAATGATTCTTAATATATTTTTTATATTTAGATCCGGAGGAGTTCTTAACGTCGCTAGTCGCCCAGATTTTAAATGCTGAACCATTCCTCAAATTAAGTTCCGGACAGGACGCCTACCATTACCAATTGTTTGTCGAAAAGGATGACCATTTAAATCTACCGACTGTGCAACAATTATTGGAGCAGAGTTTTCTAACTAGTAACATCAGATTGAAGGAAGTTCCTTCCTGTCTCATCATACAAATGCCGCGCTTTGGAAAGTCATTCAAAATGTATCAGAAAATACAGCCTACGTTACTGCTCGACGTGACAGATATTATCGAAGACTGTTAAGTATCGTTATATCGTACATCAAAAGTTGCAGAAATCGCTTTTATTTTAAATAACTAGCAATAACATTTATATGTGTGTGTGTTGCTTTGCAGCACCCAGACAGTGCACAGTGTGTGGCAAATTGGCGGAATTCGAGTGCAAGGAATGTTATGGACAATGCGGCGTCGGCCTCGAAAGTATAGCTTTCTGTTTACAGTGCCTTGAAAAAGTTCGTAAAGCATGAGATTGATATATAAACATAAGACATAAAAAAATTAATTATTTTATGTATTTTTTTTTAGGTACACTGTCATGAACGAAGAACAAATCACGAACCAAAGAAACTGAACGTACCTATGGAGTTTACAATTCTGCAAGAACATTGTCCCGTACCGCGTCTATATTTGGAGCTATCCGCGGTGGTCTGCATCGAAACTTCGCACTATGTTTCATTTGTAAAATGCGGTCCGGGCTCGGAGGCTCCGTGGTGCTTTTTCGATTCCATGGCCGATAGAAAAGGTATTTCTCACTCATATTTATATAAATACGGATATAAAATATAACTCCCTTTGTATATTTTTTATATCTTTTATCGATCGAATCATTTTATTGTTGAGAAGCTTTTAAATATTGAATTATTAAAATTGTGTTTTTTATTTAAATGTAAAGTCTTTTATTGTTATTAGGAGAACAAAATGGATATAATATACCGGAGATGGTGCCATGTCCAGATTTTCCTTATTGGTTGAGTGAAGAAGGAGGGACTTACTTGACCGAATTAAAAGACGACCGTCATTTGCCAGAACACGCGAAACGTCTACTTTGTGATGCATACATGTGCATGTATCAATCCCCCGATGTTATGATGTACAAATAACTTGAAAAACAACTCTTATAAATATAAAAGTCGACAGGAGAGACTGTTGAGTCGCACAGAGGAATAGGGACTTCGAAAAGAACACTACTCGGATTATTGATAGAATAAGTGCTCGCTTTTTATTCGTATCCGTCACAAGAAGTTGTGTGTAAAAAGGAAAAAGGCGCGCTTAGTACTAAGAAAACAAGTAATTTGCAGTATTACCAACAGAGCCTATGAAGATCTCTGTCGAAAACGAATTTTTATTCAATTATATCATAGCTAAAATAAAAAAAAGAAAGAATTGCGTTGCAATTGTGATATTCGTAATCAGGAGAATCATCTGCAATCTGCTACAAAGTGACTTTTGAAAAAAAAAGGATAAAATAAAAAGTCGTTTTGATATCTGACTCGATCTAACGAGAAGATCAGTTCAATCTTTCTCATAGAGAAACAGAACATTAACTCTTGAAATTAGAAATCCACAAGAAAAAGAAGACTCAATCTGCACTATAATGCAGCTGAAGTGCAGATAACTTTATTATAATAATTAATCAAAATAGGTCAATAGCAAGCATAAAAATATAAACACAGACAAGTAATTTATTAAGGCATAAATATATTAACGAAAAGTTTTTATTATAATATTTTGAGGATCAAAAGTTGCAAAATTTGACTCAATCCGTAATAAAAATTTTGCATTCAATTTTCATAAAATTTTCATGCAAAAAATTTTCATAAAACATAAGCCAAAAAATCTCGTGGCAAAATGTTACTTCTATGAGACAAAAAATATCATTGAACACATTTATATCTACGTTGCGATAAGAAGCAGATAATCATTTAATATAATATTTTTAAAAACGCAATTGTAAAATATTTCTTAAAGACAAAATATGATGCTGTAAATAAAATGCAACGAATAAATTTCGAAGTTAACCCGTCACTCCTGTCGATTTTTAAGTAATGTTGATCTAGCATTACTGTAAAAGTGCAATCTCTTGCTTTTAGCTTTCTGCAACGATGTAATAAAATCTAAATCTATTTAGATTGTAGACTGAGGCACTCCCAAGGTCTCAAAATTTATGTACAAAATAGGAATATACATTTGTATGCAAGCAGATAATATACAGTTATAAAAAATAAAATTAACATTATTTATTTGAAGGTGCATCTGTCAGATTTGCATCATAAAAGAACTGATACTTCTTAATGAATTTTTTAACATGTTTTATTTAATAACATCGATTTCTTTTCAACTGGAATTTGCATATGTAACTTAATTACATTTAATCATGTTATAATACTCATAATATTCATAATGATAATATTGTCAAATAAGAGTACTTCTGTATATAATACACATAGTTATTACAAAATTTGACAATATAGATACATTATTTCTTTGAGAATGTCTGATGCATTTATCAGATTTGCATCATAACTCTGGTGAAAATTTTTCTAATTTTTATACGAATTGGAATACTTCAGAAATAATGAGAAAATCTATATCTTTTTTATACCTTTCCTTAGAATTTTTTATTTATGTAAATTCAGAAATATTCTTAGATTTTTTATTCTATAATTTCTAAAAAAATATTTTTAATTTTTTCAGATTTTATAAGATTTCACCACACAAATTATAAAATGAACAATCTTGAAAATTTTATAATGTTTCAGAATTGAAATATATAAAGAATTCTAGAAAAATCGTGAACTTTTTCGACACTTCTGCAAAATGTTCTAATTTATGAATTTGTAAAAGAAATTGACAAACTTTCTATAAAGTTATAAAATTATTCAAAAATTCTGAAAAATTTTGAAATGTACAAAAATTCTGAGAAAAATTTTCACCAGGGAAAAAACTTTTTAATGTAATCTTTAAAATGTCCTAAGTGTCCGAAAATTCTGTCATGTATCAACTATAGATGAACCAACTCGGAATCAGCTGCTAGTCAATCACAACTGGATCAAGTCAGATTAGGTTAGAATCACAGCACTGAGCACGCGTGCATTGTTTTTAGACCGAAAGCTTATACTCTGAATTAATTCAGACTTTAACTGATAATGCTAGCGAGGCGGCTGGCACTCACACGCGGTAAACAACTATGCAAGCATTCATGCTTCCCGGATGAAGTACTCGCTCAAATAACACGTAGTTACAGTATAGAGCATGAGAAACGACAGCACCAGTGGCGAGAGAAGGAATTGAATGCGGTGAGGCCCAACCACGGAGATGACCCGGAGAAGCCCAAGAAGTTCGTGTGGTTTCCCACGGCCGCTCCCAAAGAGACCGACTTAGCCTTCGGTAATATCTTAAAGTGGTTCAAGTACAACAAGGTCGCATATCTCAAATTTGCTCAGATGTTCCGTCCGATGAGGCACGAGATATTAGGCGCCGATCTGGCCACCGCTCATTTTCTCGTTCATCGCGGTGGCCGGGTCAGATTTAAGGGCAACACTTACTGGACAGAACAAAACGAGAAGGGTTTATACACGTTACCCAGCAATTACGATCCACGCTACATCCTTGAGGCGGTGGACGTCAATGGATTTGATCTGTATTACGAAGGTCTAAGTAACTTATGCGGCCTCAGCAAGCTCAAGTGGCTCAGTCTCAAGGACTGTAAGAACATCGACGACTGGGGCTTGGATAAGATCTCGGCCGAGTTCCCTAAACTGGAATATCTGGACATCTCTGGCTGCGAGAAGATCACTGAAAGAGGCCTGGAATCTCTGTACAGAATGATGAATTTGAAGAAAATGATTGTAACGAATCATAATAAGTCTGTCGCTTTTGAGCTAAGTTGCATCATGTTGGAGGATTGCATACCAGGACTGACTTGTGAAATCCTTATGCCTGGAGAAGAATCGAAAGAATCGAAATACTGAATAAAAGATTAGAATCATAATGTAGTTTGTAACTGTAAGGAAAGATATTTATCTTTATTTACACAATATTTAATTATTTTTTGCACAATCTTAGGGAACTATAAATTATAGCGAATTCAGTCACTTGGATTACACTAAATTGTTGCATACTAAAAGCTGCTGTACATAAAATTAGCAAAAAATATGATATATATGCATGTACATATATAGGATATAGATAATTCACTGGGAATTATTTAGGCAAAAAAGATCTAGCTTTGACCATCATAGGCCTGAATACGCTTATACTCAATATAAAATCAGCAAAGTTAAATATAAAGATTTATAAATATTTTGAACAATTAAATATTGTCATGTTATTTGATGAAATTTACAAGTATCATTTCATTGTTAAAACTGATTAATTATACCATACACTATCACTCAAAAGTATTTACTCACTTTGTCTTCTTTAATTAAATAAAGAAAAGTCAATACATTTCAATCTTCTTTTCTAATTGTCTAGATGTTAGACTTAATAATAATGTTTGATGGTTCCGAATTTTGTGCTATATATAGATATCTGTATGAAGAGAAAATAGTAAAATTAGAATTTAGACGTATATAAAAAAAGATACATAAAAATCGAGATGAGTAAGTACTTTTAAATGATAATGCATATTATTTATATTAGTTTAAAGCAGTCTTCGTATACTAATCCAGTGTAATATAGTGGTCTAATTCACCATTATAAATATCAAGTGGAATTCTATAATATAAATAATAATTTATACAGAAACACTGCTAATTTTTTATCAATTTATTCTTTTCCCTACGTCTCTTTATAAAATGTAATTCCACCTTATTAGCAATACCATAAGCTTTAATATTTTCATTATCGTTAGAAAGTCTAATGTCTCCAAAGCAAAGATGATATTTCTTCCAGATGTGCTTCCAACTTGTCTTCTTCTTGACATTCTCTCTTTTCAAAGACAAATTTGTGTGTCTCTTAATAGCCTTTTTTAAATCAAGCACTGTTGTGTTATGTGGAGGTACCTGAAACGAAGCAAAGAGTGTGTTATATTGAAGCGATAAATACAATGCAATTTGAATATAATTTGACACGATACAATATAATTTGAGTTTGCATTGTGAAACATGTATAACAAATTATTACCACCACTGCAAGCTTTGGCAATTCTCCGCGATTTAAGAATAAAGTTATGGCTTGTCCTTGCGCAACTGCGATTTGCGATTTAAGTTCTTCTATCGTGACATCCGAAGGCAATCCGGAGAGCAACGGTTCGTGTTCAACAAGACTGTCTATAGTTGTCTTGGTTAGTTTCACTAATTCCTGATGACCGAGTCGTGTGGAGTCAGACTTCAATTCAACTTTGATACACGATTCTTCTTCATCTTTCATCGCACGTTTGAATTTTGAATCTTTGACACTATCCATGTTGTCATTTCACTTGGAATATTAACCTATTTAAGCAGATTTGTAATTTGTAAACGTAAAAACTATGTAAATATTCATAAAATCCTTGCATTATTGAAATTACATGCAAATATTAATCTCTAAAGCTCTTCTTTTTTTATTTTTCTACCTGCTTCCATACAAATATTTTAAAATTATTTCGGATTTTCAATTATAAGCGCAATCCAAGTTGACCCCCATTCAGAAAAATGTTGAGAACCAATTGGAGACTCTACTTTCTAGGGACAAATTATTATTGGCTAACTTGTTAAAAACAACACTTTTTTAATTAGTTTTGGGTCATATTTTTGTTCTTAGCGAATTTTAGAGCAAATTTTTATTAATTACATTATCAATGTGCTCCAAAACTATTTTTTAAAAGTGCAATTTTTAATAAGTTAGCCAGTAATAATAATAATCTAATCAACAAAAACGTACAAATGTAGCACCTGAAGATTGCTATCCTTTCATGAAAGAGGCAGGCAACCTAAATTTAAATGGCAGTTTTCCGAAATTCCCTAGAAACGTCCCAAAGACGAGGGACGAGACAGGTGGATTTGGCGAAGAAAGATTTCCGTAAATAAGTTGGATTTTAGATTAAAATGCAAAATATCTTGCATCGTCAACGTCGTGCGCACAGATACGGTGTTGCTACGTCATTTCGCGATCTCACCCTGGTTTAATGATTTGAACAAATTTAAATTAATTTAAGCACTTTCACGCTAAGAACTGATTTCACTGTTAACCTCTGTCGCGTAAGCTGCAGTTGGATTTCTTGGACGAGGAACGTACGAACGAAACGTCAGTCGGATTCTCTACTGATCTCCGCAATGGATGAGAACGCGGATCGACTGAGTAAATACACGAAGCATTCGCTAAAAACTGCGCCTAAGTCAAATGTGAGACACAAATTTGGAAACAATAATGCATTAAGAGTGACTTGGACCAGACTCCGATTGATGAGTGATATCCATAGTTTGTTAAGATAGATACAGAATTATTAATTTTTGTATTAATTGGATGATTACGAAAATTCGAAATAAATTATATTAGTGGAAATTTTGCTATAACCATTTTTATGATTTAATTAATCCATTGAATTAATTGGATTTTGATTACAGTCACTCAGAATCACACTGTTTACAAATGTAATAATTATATGTATTGTAAGAATTTAGTTAAATATTTCATTCGAATAAGTTTACTAAACACTAAGCATATTTAATTATGAATATTTTATTTGATTATAAAAGTTTACAAGATTATATTTTAAATATTGACAGGTTCTGGAATGTCGAGTTTGCGAGGAGGTTTTTACAGTGGACGGTGTAAAGGTGCCACGTTTGTTGCACTGTGGACACACAGTATGTCACTCGTGCTTACTGCGGTTGAGGACTTGCATGTCGGAGCAACAGTTTCTGCTATGTCCCTTTGATCGACAACCTACCGCCATTCACGAGAACAGCATCTACAGTCTGAAGAAGAACTTTGCGCTTATCGAGCTGCTTGAACGACTGGAGCAATCCAACAGCCAGAAAACGCTGGTATTGGAGCGTGAGAGGCTTCAGTCGAATCTATCATGCGACGAGGACGAAGCGCATACTGCAGTTCTTTACTGTACTGTCTGCGCCACACACCTTTGTGAGGCTTGTGACACTATCACACATTCGTCCAAGACCCTGGGCAAACACAGACGCGTGCCGCTGTCGGAGAAGCCACGTGAGAAGCCTCGCTGTCCAATACACACGGCGGATGTGGCCGAATTCACTTGTACTCAGGAAGGTTGTCACAATTCCTTGATGTGCTACCTATGCAAAGAATATGGCAAACATAGTACACACAAGGTAATATCATCTGTAATTATACAGAAGCTGTTCAGATTATCTCTGTGTTCAGATTCATTATTAGAATGCCAATTATTAGAATGTTTTGTGAACATTGTAGTCCACTTCATCAGAATGAGGAGTAGCCTCTCTATCTTAGCATTCTAATAATGTATCTGGACACTGAGATAATTCAGTTCCTATATAGAAAAAATCCATGGAAATCTTAAAAACATCATCTGCAAGTTTCTTCTTTATATACCGGTATGTTTCAATATCTTACGTATGTTTTAAATTTAAATTATAGCCGGTATTGGTCGAGGAAGAAGCCGAAAACATCAGGAAGTCCATTATCGCGGCATTACAGAAAATGACGCAGTTTATGGAAAGCATGAGAGATACCGCACATAAAATAGGTATTTATTTTTAATTTTTCTTCTAAAATTGTACCTAATGTTAGCAATTTAGAAAAAAGAACATGACCAAAATAATTTTCGTAATAAAAATTGTTTAGTCTTGAAGTCTCAATATTTTTAAAGTTAGTCTTGAAGTCTCAATATTTTTAAGTTCTCTAATTTGTATTTCATTGTTTTATTTATTCAATTTATGTTTTCGTATTTTCAGAAATAGTAATTGAAGAATTGGAAGGCTGGGCGATCGAAGACGCGAGGAGGAGGGTGCGATATCATTTCGAGGAATTACGTGCTATTTTGACCGAACAAGAGAAAACAGCGATGGCGTACATCGAGACGGAGACTCGCGGTAGACTTTGCGCATTGAGGCAACAACAGAAAGATCTCACGTCTACGAGATCGCAAGTAGCCGGTGTATGCATCCAATGCGAAAGCATACTCGATTCCGAGGACTGGAAGTTGCTGAGCAGCTCGGAAAAAGTCAAGGAAGTGCTGGCGACATTGGAGCAACAACAGCAACATTATGCGCAATTAGGACCGGATTTTCTCAGTCCTGAATCCTCCATTCCCATTATATTTAGCAGGGTTCGTACATAATTTTTATTATGAATGTAGGATTAATTATATAATATTTTAATTGTTGTTTTTCAATTGTAGGATTAATTTTGAATAACTAGTTTAGAGCGATATTATAAAGCAATTATAATAAACTTATATATTAATCTTTGTTTTTCTAAGTATTTTAAGTACTTTAATTTTTTTAATGGAAATAATCAGTAATATTAAATTAGATGATTTTAAAAAAATGGTTATCTTTTTAATATAGTCAATACATTTTTTTTTCAATGCTTCATTTTATAACAGGATAACAGAATACACATTGGAACAAAGATCGATATGCGCGTAGTAATCCTAGGACTGGATGGTGCGGGAAAGACAAGTATTTTATCTGCTATGCGAGGCGTCACGCTGCCAAATCCACCGATTCCCACTATCGGCTTCAACGTTGAAAGTTTGGAGTACATGAATCTCGTATTTACTCTCTGGGATGTTAGCGGTCATCAAAAGTTTCGACCACTGTGGAAGCATTACTATCATAACACACAAGCTGTTATTTTTGTGGTTGACGCTAGCGATAGATCTCGCTTCGAAGAAGCACGAAAAGAATTATCAAAAATACTTTATGAACGAGAACTGAAGGATGCTCTACTTTTAATATATGCTAATAAACAGGTAAATGTAACATTCCCATCTTTAAAATGTTTATATAAGATAAATGTAATTATATTGGGCAAAATAACAAAAGTTTTAAATATTGAGATATCTCTAATGATACGTACCACTCTAAATAAATTCGTCCTACTAAATTTTTATAAACAACGAATGTATTTACATATCATTAAAAGTTTAATATCTAAAAATTTTTATCATTTTGTCTAATAATTGCGCCCAATTGAATTAACTAATTCATTTACTTTACAAGATATTGCATAAGTTCCAAGCAAATTCATAT